GTGGCGGTTGCCGAATGGTTCGCAAGGAGTTTTTCGAGTCGTGGGAGCGCCGCATGTATTTGCTTATGCTCAGCACGTAACTCCGCGATTTTCTGTACTGAAATATCTCCTTTTCCCTCCATTTGGCGATTTACAGGAAGATGCGCGATGAAAATAATCAAATTCTAGGTGCTGGTCGACTCACTGCGAGTCAAGTTGACTATAGGATTGACGAGCGTGAATTCTATAGGTCGCGTAAATCTCCCTTAAGCGAAATTCGCGTCCGATTTTGGCCGTTGAAGAGAAAATCAATCTGACGCTCCAAATTCAACTTTTTTGGGCGAAATTCTCTTTGCCGTTGAGATGAAACTCGATCGAACGGTCGAAACTCCAACCTTTCCACCAGTAAATCTTAGGGGTGTTCGAAAACCGAATCGAGGGGGACTTAGAAAAATTGTGCGGAACTGGTTTTTCATACCCGTATCGTCGCTTTCGTCGTCGCCCCCGCAGTTTTTTAAAGGCCGGAACTAAGCGGTTGAAGACCTCGCGTGTAGACCCGCTCTGATTACCAAGTGTGAGGATCTAGGATCGAGCTGAGAAACGAGAATTGTAATTGAATAAATTGAATGATCACCTGGGTACAACACGAGGCTATATATAGGCTCGACACAAGGTGCTGTAACCAGGTGCTACGCAAAGGTTCCACGGGTCGCGAAGCGTCCCGAACAGATCCTTACCGAATTCGGTAGAAGGCAATTCGGTGGCAACCGAAAAGCCAGAATTCGGTGCACGCAACCTAGCTCGGTGCTATAACTATAATAAAATATAGGAAAGCACCTAGCCTAGGAAATCAAGCAATTGATGCATGCATATAATTATCCTATGCTAGAAATAGCATGATAAAGTAAAGGCAAGCAAGCATAGCTGGCATAAGCCGTCGTACTCTCACAATCGCAACTCGCAGCTACCACGATTCTGTTCGAAGATCCCACACCCCGAGGCTACCGTGGTTGATGCATACTCATGCTCATGGACAAACGAGAATGGCTTTGCGTTCCCACCATCTCAACTGATCCCGGCAGTCATCCGCCACGCACAACGCACCAATGCATCATTCACCCTAATTGTCCCACACTGGACGGGGGCAAACTGGTGGCCACTACTACAACCCTCCCCACCTAACTGGGCCCCGCACATCCAAGCGCACATTCCCATAACGCACGGCAGCCAATGCCTAGCAGTAGGAACGCACCGCACTGCCTTTTCAGCCATAGGACTGCTTCATAGCACAATCATTGCACTACGAGTGGTCTTCGACTAACCCAACCTGTACGCCTTCGCGCAGACGTATTACTGAAGCTACAAGTCCAACTATTAAAGATGCTCTCACAGTCTCAGGCCGATTCAACGATCCGAACATACGAGCCATACTGGGTCAAGTTTTGAGCATTTCGTGCAAAGGTCAACCTCCCATTCCTCCCCACGTCGGACATGACTTTCGTGCTATACCTAGTGTACGCTATCCAACACAGAGCCACCCTGCCCATGGTACAACTCACATGCTTGTCAGAATAATATATAAATCTATATATTGTTTTGTAACTGCCTGTAATGTAGAATACTGTAGTCATCTAACTTTTTGTTTGGTGGTGCACCTTTCTTCACTCTTGCCTATTTGTATTGCTCGCTCTATAGTGAAACACACTCTTTTGTTGCAATCTTCTCGACTCACCCAAACTCACTCGAACTCAACTACTCGACCTACTAGCTATGGCTCCTAAGCCTTCCTAGTACCTTGACAATGCTCAGCGGTGAGCTTTGCACACCGCATGACCGGGAGCACATGCCCAATGACCGGACCATTCACGTCTCAAGTACGCGACTTCGCGAAAAGAAATTGTCCTCGCCCCACACGAAAAAAAAGGAGCCGGTCTCGCTGCAACAGGTCCACGACATGTCTGCGAGCTACCTGCAATCCGACAAACCCGGGGAGTTCTAAAAGGGGCTAATCCCTATCCTCATGTACACTAAATTCTGAAGATACTCAGACCTCATCGCCCTCGAGTGGCAAGACATCCAGTTCGACAGTGAGGTCATGTGGATCCTAATCCCGTACTCCAAGACGGACCAAGCTGGAAGGGGCACATGGATACCCATCGCCGCAACTCATGATCCCTTTTGCCCTGTCCGCTGCACCCGACGGCTCATCCAACTCGCGGGATACGACCGACAGACCGCAGGGCTGCTGATTCGCATCTTTGGACGTGGTTCACTTCAAGGCCAAGCAAGGCCGCCGTCGTACTCGACGATCCGAAACTGGTGCAAAGAAGCCTTTGGGAAGATCGGACTAGGGGAACAGCAGCTGGGCACTCACTCCTTTCGCAAAGGAGCAGCCACTGCTACGGCGAACACCGGCGTGCTGGACAGAATCTTCAAACGACTGGGCAGATGGCGCAGCGATACAGCGAAGGAGATGTACGTCACGCCCAACGCCGAACATCTCATCAGCGCCTCCCGCCAGTTGCAAGATCTGGCCTACGCCCCTTCTTCAGCTCAGCACGCGGAGGCACTCGTGCGTCATCAAAAACCCCCGCTGCCCATGTCTTAGAGACCTTAGTTGAAATGAGAACGATGTCAAATGATAAGTATTAGAAAGCAAGCTTTGTAAATATGCTAATTTTTAAACACACATAGTGTTTTCTTAAATTACGTATTTCGAAAGCGCAGCTCACTGTAACGCGAAATTGGCATCGTCGAAGCGCGCTAAACGCCCTTCTCCAACTACAAATCGTGGGTTGGAGTTCATTTCCCTCCACCCACGTTTCTCATTTTTTAATCGGCTCATGCAAGTCTCCCACTCCCCGCCCCAACACTGATGGACACCAAGGCCGCCGCTTATACAGGAGGACACAAGTGGTACAATATGGGTTAGCGCACACCTATTAGGATTGATAGCTTGACGAATGATTGATATGAAGTATCAGGACATGTACTAGCACTTATATTGTCTAGCTCGAGGTGCATGTTGTAATGAGAACGATGCCCCTGTTGAAATGAGAACGATGCCAAATGATAAGTATTAGAAAGCAAGCTTTCTAAATGTGATGTTTTGAAGTTACGATCACTGTTCAAGGTGCATACAGGCATTGCAGCCTTGCGCCAAAATCGCATACAATGTGTGAGTTTCGCTTCCAATCAGAATTGTACACATGTTTCAAATGTTCTTGTTCACACCGAGACTCGTCTCTAGTGAAAAAATATAAAAGCACAGCACTTCCAGCTTTACGAAGCGCTCCAACAAAACTTCTGCCTTCAAGTGGACCCAACTAGAAGGGGGGGGGGTCACTATTTTAGCTGCTGGCTTTAAATAGAGGAGGAGAGCCGTTTGGGAAAAGCCCGAGTCGGGAATGGCAAAGAAACGGGAGGAGGCGAACATCAGCAATCTTAGGGTGCATTCGGGAAGCGTGTTGTAAAAGGCTAGATACAGTGCAGTGGAAACGTCATCTACGCTATTTAGGTGTGCAGATTGGTATACTGTCTTTGTGGTGCCTAAATTCGCGGCGCGCCCCTTATTTTATTAGACATAACATCATTATACTCTGCTCCATGTGGTTCCGAGCCATGTGAGACTAACAGGCACGTCAGGGAAGCAGTTATCAGGCGGCATAAAGGCAGACCCTGCAGGATGCATGGAGTAGAGCAGCGCCGTGCGGGAGAAGCCAGAGTTGGGAATGATGAAGAAATGGGAGGAGGCTAGCAGTAACCACTCGGCTATGAGCTCAAGGAAGGGAGCGGAGGAAGAGGAGGGAGATGAGTTGGATGGGGATGGGTTGGTGGTGCCTTCCCCACTCATGCTGTTGGCGTGGCGGGGAGTGAAGTCGGTGATTACCACCTGTAGGTTGAAAAGGCAAGAAGGGAGAAAGGGATAGAAGGGAATTGGAGAATGGGAGGATGGGGCAAGGGGAAAGTGGCTGTTGGCGTGGCGTGGAGTGAAGTCGGTGGTTACCACCTGTGGGTGAGGAAGGGAGACGGGGGGAAGGGAAAGGAGCAAGCATTGAGGAGGAGGTGGATGGGGAGGGAATTGCATGCTGGTGTCGTCCCCACTCATGCTGATGGCGTGGCCGGAGTGAAGTCGGTGGTTACCACCTGGCGGGTCACAGAGAAGAGAACTGGAGGCGAACCTAGATAATGCTGAAGGAAAAAATAAACATACACTAGGGGGGCGTTCAAGACGCTGGTGTTGGCGGCAGTTTGGAGAGAGATCACATGAGTGGTGCACACAATCTTGTCTGAGGAGGAGCCAGCGAGGCATGGGGAGACGCCAGAAATCTGCCGCCGGAATTTCTGGCAGATTTCTGGCGTCTCCCCGTGCTTCCCTCTTGTCCACTTCGGCCACCTGTTACGTCTTCCCACCATTTCTTTTGCTCTTGTCAGGTTCCTCCTGATGCAGTTAACGTCCGTGGGTAATAAAAACCTTTGCACGCTTCTCTCCAATTTTTCCAGCGCATCCGCTCTCGCTGGCCCCTCCTCAGGCAAGATTGTGTGCACCACCCGTGTGATCTCTCTCCAAACTGCCGCCGACACCATCGTCTTGAACGCCCCCCCCAGGAATGTTTTTCTTTTTCCTTCAGCATTTTCTAGTTTGATGAAGGAACGCGGGGGAAAGATAGAGTTTAGTAATAGTATGACAAAGTCCCAAGGATCGTTGCACATGAGGAAGGGCGGCAGTAGGATGGGCCGTGTTAGCAAAGAGATGGTAGTCACTTTGCAAAATCAATAGTAACCACGAATACCTTCGAGTAAAACCCAAACGTACAGCTCGATTCAAACTCTAGTCTTAGGAAAACATGTTTCAGCATGGTGACCATACCCGCTATTGTAAGGCGCAAGGTAAGGCCTTACCTTCAACTGTGCGATTATTTCCGTCTTTTTGGAAAAGCCTCATCCTTTCTGGGTACTTACAGAGACGCTTGACTTGTAAATACCTCACCTTGGATGGGTATTGTCTGCGAGTCCCTCACCTTGTCCGGGTATTGCTTGCGAATGGCCTCTTTGACTTGCATGGAGTTGCAAAGGAGCAACCACTTGACAGGGAGGGAGGAGGGGACGTGCCACTCCTGCACTCGCTGCGGGGTGGAGGGAGAATGGAGGCGGGAGTGGGGTGTGCGGAGAAACAGAACGAGCAATAAGGGAGAGATATAGCCACTTGGCAGGGAGGGAGGAGGGGATATGCCACTTTTGCACTCTTTGCGGGAATGAAGTGGGGAGAGTGGAAGGGAGACGGGTTGAGGCGCAAGATAAGGAGCAAAACAAGGAGCGATAGAAAGCCGCTTGACAGGGAGGGTGGATGGAGGGGACGTGCCACTCCTGCACTCGCTGTGTGCGTTGAGGGTGGAGAACGTGTGTTGGTGTTACTTGATGTGTTGGAGAACGTGTGTTTTGGAGAATATTCTAAATTCACACACCAACACTCGCTGTACGTGTTGAGGGTGGAGAACAAGTGTTGAAGGAAGGCGGGGTGGGGGTCGAATGGAAGGAGAAACTCATGGAGTATTTATAGTGGACTCATTTAGGGGGAGAAAACAAACGACGCGCTTTTGCATCCAGGTCCTCTTCTGTCTCCTCCCTTCCCCTCCCTGTGAACCCCTCCCTGTGAACCCCTCCCTGTGAACCCCTCCCTGTGAACCCCTCCCTGTGAACCCCTCCCTGTGAACCCCTCCCTGTGAACCCCTCCCTGTGAACCCCTCCCTGTGAACCCCTCCCTGTGAACCCCTCCCTGTGAACCCCTCCCTGTGAACCCCTCCCTGTGAACCCCTCCCTGTGAACCCCTCCCTGTGAACCCCTCCCTGTGAACCCCTCCCTGTGAACCCCTCCCTGTGAACCCCTCCCTGTGAACCCCTCCCTGTGAACCCCTCCCTGTGAACCCCTCCCTGTGAACCCCTCCCTGTGAACCCCTCCCTGTGAACCCCTCCCTGTGAACCCCTCCCTGTGAACCCCTCCCTGTGAACCCCTCCCTGTGAACCCCTCCCTGTGAACCCCTCCCTGTGAACCCCTCCCTGTGAACCCCTCCCTGTGAACCCCTCCCTGTGAACCCCTCCCTGTGAACCCCTCCCTGTGAACCCCTCCCTGTGCACCCCTCCCTGTGAACCCCTCCCTGTGAATCCCTCACCTTACCATCGCGAACGATGGTTCCCACCATCTTCCACCGTTTCCCTCACTTGCTCTTCTGAGACTGATAAAGATGCATCCTCCCTTCCCTCAGTTCTCTCCCTCCCCCTACCAGTGCCCCTCTTTCCTCTCCAATCCTCTCCCTCACCTTTGCACACTCAAGTGTGGATCGAACGTCTTCCATCATCTGCCCCACACGCTCTTCTTCTGAGAGTGACGAGGGTGCATCCTCCTCTTACCTCCTCTTGACCCCGTCCCCCCACATGCCCTTCCTTACCTTGGCACACTCTAGTGTGGGTTTAACCTCCTCCACCATCTCCCTCACTCGCTCCTCTGAGAGTGACAAAGGCGTCCCCTCCTCTAACCCCTCTTGATCCCAGCCCCTACAAACCCTTCCTCCTCACCTTGGCACACTCAAGAGTGGGTTTGACTTCTTCCACCATCGCCCTCACTCGCTCCTCTGAGAGTGACAAAGGCGTCCCCTCCTCTAACCCCTCTTGATCCAGGCCCCTACAAACCCTTCCTCCTCACCTTGGCACACTCAAGAGTGGGTTTGACTTCTTCCACCATCGCCCTCACTCGCTCCTCTGAGAGTGATAACGGCGCCCCCTCCCCTCCCTCGCCCCACACTGCTCTGTCCTCGAATCGAATGTGTAAGCCGATCACAACCGTCCGATCGCCCCTCAGCTGCTGATCGAACGGTCGGATGAGTTGCCACACCTCAGGCTTTGGTCTGGAGGGCTAGGCGAGCAGGATTACGGAAGGAAGAAACAAGAATGGGGACAGGGGAAAGGGGGACGGGTGGGGGAAGAAACGTGATGGAAGGAGAAGGGATGATTGGCAGGTAGGGAGGGGTGGGTATGGAGGGGTGAAGGCTGGTTAAGCAATGATGAGGAGGAGAAACGAGAAGAGAAGAGGACAGAATGATGGGATGGGAGGGACGAGGGTGTTACGGGGATGTACGGGAGGAGCGGAGGCAACAGAAGAGAGAAGTGGGAAGGGGTGAAGGTTTGTTACGCACCCGCGGCAAGCAACCGAAGCAAGTTACGCCCGTTGCAAACAACAGCCTGAGCCCCAACCCTTCACAGCCTTTACGTTCACAGTCCACTCCCCACTGCACAGCCGCATCCCCCACCCACCTGACAACCACCTGAGAAAGCACCTGAGTAATCACCTGAGAAGGAAGCGCAGAAAACATCCCGTTGCAAGCGGCAGCCTGAGCCCCATACTCCTCAACCTTAAAGCCCACTCCCTGCTGCCCCTCATCCCCCACTCTCCTCCCACACCTCCCTCCTCCTTCCCTCCGTTATCCGCGTTATAAGCCTCCCTATCCGCGTTATAAGCCTCCAGGAAGAGCCGGGTGAGCACGCCGCGGTTCCAGCGCAGCAGGATGTTGGCGGCGGGGGCGAGGCGGGAGAAGAGCGGCTGCAAGTCCACATGGCGGTTCTTGAGGTTCAGCCGAACCACCTCCCCTGCCTGCACCGCTGCGTCTGCCGGCTCTGCCCCTGCCTCACTGTCTGCCTCACTGCCTGCAGCAGCACCAGCAGCCGGTGGTGAATTAGCAGCAGAAGGGCCGACGCCAGGAGGCGGAACGTACGTGTATTTCCTGGAAGGTTCCATGGGGACATCGTCGGTCAACCGCCAGTCAACGTGGGCGGGGTCAAAGGCTTGCGGCAAGCACGGGTGGTTGAGAATCAGGGCACGTCCGTCCAAAAGTGCTACAGTGAACGCGGCGGCTAGGCCAATCAGAGCGTCCCCCAGCCCCCCACAGCCGAAGAGGACTTCGTATGTGAGGAAGCGGAGAGGGGGAGGGGAGGGGGAGGAGGAGGGGAGGAGTGGTAGTGAGAGGGGAGGAGCTGAGGCGGCAGCAGCAGCAGCAGGCGCAGTGGCATCGGCAGCAGTAGCAACTGCCACACCTGCCTGGGTTTGGGCTTGTGCTTGAGCCTGGGCTTGCGTCTGGGATTGGACCTGTGCCTGTGCCTGTGCCTGTGCCTGTGCCTGTGCGTGCTGTGTTCTGCTTTCCTCCCGCATGCCTGCATGCAGCTTCACATACTCCTTCCACCAGTCGCCACAGAGGTGCTCGGGGAACCCGAAGCGGAGGTGAGAGGAGGGGGCGAGGCGCGAGGAGGGGAGGAACGAACCCTGATGGAAGGGGATTACATGGGGGAGAGGGAGGGAGCAACAGGGTTTGAGATGGGACGACACTCAAAGTGCGTTTCCCCCTCACACCGTTATGACGTTTCACATACTCCTTCCACCAGTCCCCACAGTGGTGCTCGGGAAACCCAAAACGGAGGTGAGGTGAGAGGAGGGGTGAGACGTGAGGAAGGAAAGCCGATTAGACGGGAGGAACCCTGAGACGTGAGGGGCGGAGGGAGGCCGATTTTGAGGAGAAGGAAGAAAAGAACCTGCGAGAGGGAGCAGGAGGACGGGAGGAAGTGAGTGAGAGGAAGGGAGGACAAAATTCTGAGAGTGGGACCAAGGAAGGTGGGTGGGTGGAAGTGAGGGGAAGAGGGGAACAAATACTGATGGAGAGCTTGACAATGGGGAGAGAGAGGAAAGGCATGTGGTGATGGGAACGGAGAATGGGGCGAGAGCGCGATTGCGGGTCGGAGGGAAAAGGAAATTGAGACGATTTTGTTGTTAACTCAAAAATCGTCTCATCACAGGCATATGGTGACGGGAACGGAGAGGGTGACGGGAACGGAGAGGGGGGCGAAAATAGGGTCGGAGGAGGGAAAACGAAAATGTCGAAGGGGAAGAAAAGAGAGGTAGACGAAGAAATGCGAGAATGGCGAACGATGGATGGATCGGGACCACTGACCAGCGAATCACAGTTGGACACGTCATCGCCCAGCGATAACGTCAACGGCAGCGCCAGCAGCAACGCTAACAATGCGAGCCACTGAGAGCGGCGCGGGGGGATAGCAGAACCAGACGTAGGTTTTCTAGGCGCCTCGAAGATGTCCCGATCGTGCATCGAAGCTCGCGAATTCCGCGACTGTCGCGAATCTCGCCATCGGGAAAGGTACTGCTGGTGAACAGCAGAGCGAGTCATACGCTCTACAGCATGAATATGCAGACTAGGTGTCGTAATAATACGATATCGCGATGATACTCGCGATTTAGGGCGTCGTGAAAAGTGGGAATACTGCAACTGAGCGAGTTTTAATGCGTGTTCCGGAAGGACGATTTTTGTCCACGGTGCGAAACCGAAAAATACCAGTTCCAGCCTCATCAGTTCAATTCATCCGCACTCAAACGTATGACTACGCTTGGAATGTCAACGATTGATGCGACCAGTGAAAGAGGGTCGCGAATTCTCATTTATTTCGCAGAAGTACAATGTAGACTACGACAATCGCGAAATCACAAGACAAAAGCATTTCACCTTTTCGCACATCAACAGTGATGCGAGATGGTGTTCGGGTTACAGCGCAACTCTCGCCAACTATATTTTTTGCCCATGTCGCGTGGTTGTTGAGAACAGACTACTGCCTCGTCTCGACACGATCTTGCAAGGGAAACTAAGCCGTTCAGTAGACTCGATCCTTGATCCCTGATCTGGATTTCTGATCCTAGCCCTCAGCTTATTTCCTCGATATTGTCAGTCAACCAAATAGGGACAGTACTGTGTCGCGGTTTTTATAGCAAGACAGTGCCAGGACCCCGTCGGTTACCGCGCCGATCATGTCGTCAGGACGCTGAAGCGCATTTGGATTCCTCACCCCTGCAGCGCCGCTAACCCCGCCCGGTCTGGACGTTCATCCTCGCGCTTCGTCCCACGCCACTATCTCCTTATCTCCTTCTGTTTAACTCCTTCCTGCTCAACCCCTAACAATTCCGTTAAACTCCGCGCAAGTCATTTTAGCTCCTACGTTACTTGCGCTGACTGCGAGGAGAAGCACGGCTTTTGAGACGTCTCAAAAGTCATTTTAGCTCCTACGCTGCTTGCGCTGACTGCGAGGAGAAACTCGTGCCGCGCCTCATGCGGCCATGGCGGCCGTCCTTTGCGGCGCTAATGCCGTCATGGCGTCCTTCTTTCGCAACGCTCGTGCGGCGCTCTGGCCACCTCCTGTTGCTCCTCGTGTGCTTGTCGCAGGTAAGACGATCGGACGCGGGAGAGAGAGAGGGAGAGTGACGATCGGACGAGGGAGAGAGAGAGTGACGATCGGACGAGGGAGAGAGAGAGTGACGAGAGGACGAGGGAGAGAGAGAGTGACGATCGGATGAGGGGGAGAGAGAGAGAGAGAGTGGCGATCGGACGAGGGAGAGAGAGGGTGACGATCGGATGAGGGAGAGAGAGAGTGGTGATCGGAAGAGCGAGTGCAGAGCGAGAGAGAATGGATCAGCACTCTCACTCACTCACACACTCACTCACCCACTTCACTCTCTCCCCTCTTCACTCTCCGCCTCATTTCAGGCCTACCTCGTCTGGTGCGGGCGGCTATTTTCGAGGTTATCCCGCCCCTCACTCCCCCCTCTTCTCTCTCCTCCCCTCCGCTCAGGCCTACTTCCTCTGGTCAGGGATCAGCATTAGGTCGCACAGAGCTGGCACAGGTACCAACCCCCTGATGCAAGTAGCTATACCGAGGCACCTTAATAAGAGACTTTGCATTCTCTCCCCCTCTTTTCAGGTTTACTTCCTCTGGTCAGGGATCAGCATTGGGTCGCACAGAGCTGGCGGCGACTGCAACGAGCACTATAAAATGCTGCTACAACAGCAACCACGAGAACAACAGGGGCTGCAGCAAGAAGCATGGCACGAGTCGGTGCAGAGAGGTGAGGTTGTAACCCTCCCCCCTTGGTGCAGGTGAGTGCAATGAGCGTTCCAAAATGCTGCTATAACAGCAACCACAAGAGCATCAGCAGCAGCAGCAGAAGCAGCAAGAAGCATGGCATGAGTCGGTGCAGAGAGGTGAGATGGACTCCTTCCCCCTTGGCACATGTGACCAATGAGCACTCTAAAGGGTTGTCATCAGTCAGAACAGCAACAGCGGCAAGGGAAACAGCAGCAACGAAAAGAATGAGATGCAGCATGGCATGACTCGGTGCAGAGAGGTGAGATTGGACCACTTTCCCCCTGGTGCAGGTGACTTCACAGGGCCCGGGAAATGGTATTTGCTGACTCAGTGGGAGGGAGGTGTGTGTGCATGTCGGCTCATTAACCTCACCTCACCACCTTTGGATATGTGTCGCCATGTTGCCTTATGCCCTTGGGCCTGAACAATGCAGCTGAGGGTGTAAATACACGAATACGGTTTCGAATATGGTTTTCAATACGAATCGTTGACAGATAGCAGGAAAATTGGTGTTTTGTTTACGAGCCCACTTCTTCCAAATCTGAATACCGTTCAAATAGCTAATTCTGTGTCGGGTACGAATACGAATTCTGTTTTTGCTTCAGAACACGTGGGTGGTTTATCAGATAGCCAAGGTTGTCCTGGGTGCACACGACCTGGCTGGGTCCACGGTTCATGTCATGATAGGCCCGTCCAGGTGTGTTTTGAGTCGACTCAAAACGTCCTGGGTGCACACGACCTGGGTCCATCCATGGTTCATGATAGGCCCGTCCGCCCCGCCGGTGCTTTTCTCACTGCACTGATGACATGATTGAAACGTGGGATTTTTCCAGCGCCCCACCCTTTTAAAAACGTACCTTCAAAATCTAGAAGGATGCAAATTAGTACAGTTGAATGGTTGTACAAATTATCCGGATATTCTGTCGGCGAATGTCGAATATGTTGAATAGCCGATAACCAAATACGAGTCGAATATCCATTTTATTTGTTTTGTATTGTACTCTCTTATCGTTGATTACCAAATACGAATACGAATATGTCGGTATTCGTTTACATGTCCCGTTGGCAGCAGCAGGTGGAGTTGGCAGCACAGGGGCCAGTAGGGGTATGTAATGACTCCGCGGGTGGTGGTGTGTGCATGTGGGCTCAACGCCTCTCCTCAACGCCTCTCCTCAACGCCTCTCCTCTCCACCTTTCTATGTATGTGTGTGTCGCCCTGTTGTCGTTTCGCCATGTTGCCTCTTTGCCATGCTTCCATGTACCCTTGTGCCTGAACAGTGCAGCAGGTGGAGTGGGAGACGGCAGCAACACAGTTTCGCGTTCAGCTGATGAAAATCAGTCTGACGCTGACAGGACTCTTGCTGCCGCGGGGCTGATTCGTTTGGAGCGTATCCTTAAAACGAGGATAGCTACAGTGGAGGCGATGCTGAAGAGCTTGCAGCATGAGAGGGAGGGAGTGGGAGAAGGGAGGGGGGAATCTGACGAAAAGGAGGAGGGAGAAGGGGAGAGGAAAGGGAGAGGTGGGAAGGAGGATGAGGTGGACGATCTGCCATCATGGGTGGATACAGCTGCTGCTGCTGCTGCTGCTGCTGCTGCTGCTGCTGGATCTGCTGCTGGTGGGAGCAGTGGCAGCAACAGCGGCAGTAAAGCAGGGAGAGAGTTGGTGGTGGAAGGAGATGAGTGGGATGAAACAGGAGCAAAGGATGAGGAAGGCATGGCGGCTGAGAGTGGGCGGGTGAGATTTCAAGAAACTTCGAGTTCAGATCTGGTCTCTCTTTTTGTTTTCCTAACTTCCTCGTCCCCCTGGATGTATTGGGTTGATTGATTGATTGATAACTCTGCTACACTGTTCATGTTACGACCACTCCTCCACCACTCCTCTTCCACCCACGCCCCCCCCTCTTCACCTCTCCCTCCCCCTCCCACTTTCCCTCCTCTTCACCCACCCCCATCTCATTCAGGCACTCAATACCACTCGCAACGACCCCTCCTCTCCTCCTCAGTCACCCAACACTACCCTCCCTCCCCACCTCTCCCTCCTCCTCTCTCACCTCACTCCCTCCCACCTTCCCCCAGTCTGTCGCACCGACCCGACAACCCACTCCCTCTCCCCCATCTCCGCCTCTCTCTTTCCCCCTCCCCCCCGCCTCATCCCCTGGAACCCCCACCCCCACCGCTACCTGCTGGCCACGTGCACTTATGGTCGCACCTCCAACCACCTGCTCTGCATACGACGGTGAGTCTGCTCCATCCTCTGGAACCCTACCTTCACCCTCATCCCCTGGAACCCCCACCCCCGCCGCTACCTGCTTGCCACATGCACACATGGCCGCACCTCCAACCACCTGCTCTGTATTAGAAGGTAGGCACCCTCTTGCTCTCCCCTCGTTCCGGTCTCTGGTTCTCCCTTCCCCACCCGTCCCCCACTCCCCACCCCCTGGAACCCCCCCCACCCCCACCGCTACCTGCTTGCCACATGCACGCATGGCCGCACTTCCAACCACCTGCTCTGCATTCGGAGGTGGGTATGCCCTTGCTCGTTCTCTCAATTGGTTTTTCTTTCTCTCTCGCGCACTTGCTTTCTCTCCTCCCTACAAACCTCCATCACCCCACTCGCTTCCCTCTTCTCCCCATCGTCTTTCTCTTCCCTCCTCCCCCCATCACCCCCTCTCTACCCTCCTCCCCCCATCACCCCCTCTCTACCCTCCTCCCCCCATCACCCCCTCTCTACCCTCCTCCCCCCATCACCCCCTCTCTTCCCCCCTCCACCCACCGCCCTCTCCCTTCCCCTTCCTCCCCCAGCCTTTCCCTCCCCGTGCTGTCCCTCCAGTCACCTGGCAACTGCATCTCTGTTCAACCGCTACCTACCGCTGCCACGCCTGTATCTCGTTCTGAGACGTCTCAAAACCTCTCTTTCTCTTCCCTCCTTCAGGTACCTCGCCTTTGCACCTCTGCTCAACTGCTCTCTGCTGCTGCCACTGGTGCCTCCCACCTCTCCTGGTGGTGCTCCACCATGGGCTCAGGCAAGGGAGCCACGTAGACAAGCTCTGCTGGCTCTTCCGTTGCTAAACCCTCCTCCCCCTCCTCTCTTCCCTGCCTCTCCAGGTACCTGGCATTCGCAGCTCTGCTCAACCGCTCCCTTCTGCTGCCAGTAGTGCCTCCCGCCTCTCCTGGTGCTTCCACTCCGCACGAGGGGGCATGGTTCACCCGTGGGCTCAGGCAAGGGAGTCGTGTGGACTTAGGGTCGACTGGCTCGTTGGCTGCTAAGCCCTCCCCCCACTCATCCCTCTCATCCTCCTCCTCTTCCTCCTCTTCTTCTTCCTCCTCCTCCTCATCTATCTCCTCGTTTCTCTTCAGCACCTCTCCACACTCACTCCCCGACGCATCAGTCAGCGGCTTACCCCTCTCGAGAGTGCAGAGCCACACTCGCAGGCGACTCGTGGGTAGTGGGAGAAGGGACACGGATGGAGGAGGAGAGAGAAGCGAGAGAGATGTGGTGGAGGGGGGAGATGTGAAAGGGCAAGGAGGGGAGCAGAGACTGATGCATGGCGGAGACACGAGCAGGATTCATGGTCTTCTTGCTGCTAATATGCCCAGTAGGAGGGCACTTGGCGCATCAGATGTATCAGGAGCGTCAGGTTCAGGTGTATCTTCAGGTGTTTTATCAGGTGCACCGCCAGAGTGGATGGACCTGGGAGTGGCTTTAGACGTGGCAGGCCTGCAGCAGTGTGTGGGGCAGGGACGAGTGGTCACTGTGGACGCATACCTCAGAGGCGAGGGGGTTGGGAGCGGTGGAGAGGGGTGGCTGGGGAGGATGGGGGAGTTATGGAAGCCAAGGAGGAGGAGGAGGGGGGTGGAGGTGAAGATGTGGTGGTGGTGGCACGGCGGCGAATCCGTGCATGCCACGTGTCAGCGGTTCATTCGCCAGGCGCCGTGGGTGAAGCTGTTACCTCATGGTGATGATGATGGTGGCGTTGATACTGATGATTTTACCACCGGTGGCAGTAACAGTGGTGATAATTCCAGCACCACCAGCACTGGCACTAGCACCGGTGGTGGTATCAATAATGAAGATACTAACAATGGTGGTGGTGCTGCTAGCGAGGCCAATATCAACGACCCGGCACATCTCGCCCGCGTCTGTACAGCAGCCCCCATCCCCGCCTCCAACGTCACTCTCCGCCAGTTCCTCTCCTTCTTTGGCGCTCGCACAGAGCAAGTCATTGGGCTGGGAGACGTGTTTGAGGTTACAGGGAGCGTGGATGTGGGACAGGTGGGAGAGACGGGGGAAGATCTGGGGGGAGTGGGAGGATCGCTGACAGATTCGCTGGTGGAAGGTCACTATGATGGTGTCAACGGCGCTCGAGACGCTCGAGCACGTTTGCTAGCCGATAAGCTGCTGGAAGGTCATGCGAGCAGTGACGGTCTGCCTGGTCTCTACGATGGTCTCAATGGTGCCGTCCCCATCCTGCCGCCCTGCCGCCTCGCCATGCGTCCGCACCCCGCCGCCCTCTCCGCCGCCCACGCATTCACGCGGCGTGTGCTCGGCACACGCTTCGCCGCCCTGCACCTGCGGCGGACGGATTTCGCGACGCACTGCTTGAGGCCGGGCTTCTGGTGCTGGTTACCGCTGTCTCAGATCGCCCGGTGCGTGGCTGATCGGATCAATGCCCTCAATGCTGCTGCTGGTGTTGCTGCTGGTGTTGCTGCTGGTGTTGCTGGTGCTACTGCTGCTTCTGGTGGTGGTTCTGCTGCTGCTGTGGCTGTTGCTGCTGGAGTGAAGGAGGGGGCAGCATCAAGTGGGATGGAACAGCACAAACCTGTGCGGACTCTCTTCGTCGCCACAGATACAACCGACCAGGTGAGAGCTGGGAATGGCAGGATACGATCTTAAGTGGTTTGCGTGAGATCAAACGGCAATGCACTCTTATCCCACGGCAATGTGTCGAGAAGCACGGTGGAGAAGATGATGTGTGCCCATGCGCATGTGTTCTGGGGCACCCCGCGGTCGGCTCTAACACATCGTACCTGTCCATTCTCCCATCCGCTCCCCCCATCCTCCCTCCCATCCCACCCCCAGGAGCTTCGCTGGTTCTCCCAGACGCTGAAATCCTTAGTGTGGGGCGAGCTATCTGTTATCCAATACCCTCGCTCCAAGTCAGCTGCACCAGGAGCAGCAGAGCTGCAGGCAGCGGGCATGATAGCCCACAGCAGCACGAGGAGCACGGTGGAGAAACTGGTGTGTGTGCATGCGCTCGTGTTCTGGGGCACCCCGTGGTCAACTCAAACACATCGCACCTGTCCATTCTCCCCGTTCCCTCTTCCATCCCTCCTCAGGAGCTCCGCTGGTTCACCCAGATGCTCAAATCCTTAGTGTGGGGCGAGATAACCGTAATTCAGTACCCACGCTCCAAGTCAGCTGCGCCAGGAGCAGCAGAGCTGCAGGCAGCGGGCATCATAGCCCACAGCAGCACGAGGGGCACGGTGGAGAAGATGGTGTGTGTGCATGCGCTCGTGTTCTGGGGCACCCCGCGGTCGACCTGGAGCAAGGATGTGTTAAGGATGAGGGGGGCACTGGGGGTGGAGCATTGTGGGGATGACTGGGTGTGTGGGGGGGAGGAGACGGAGGACTTGGGGGTGAGGGAAATCAGCAAGAGGATGAATGCATGAGTCACCGCCAGCTTGTAGTGTGTTCCACCCTACTCTTTCGCAATGCAAGCCCCACAGGGCGTATATCTGGAGGAACACGTACAGTACGGCCTATGGTACCTACCTTGCAGTACCGGTGCCGTATTTTATCTCAAAAGGGTGAAAAATTCTTCCTTGCTGCTCACCTCTTGAACCTTGAGAACCATTTACAGCTTCACTCATGATTTGACATGCTTTTAGCTCCTGGGATGAACGTTTGCCCCTAGACGAGTGCCATGCCAGCCAACCACATCAAAGATCAGGACCCAAGGGGGCGTTTCAAGATCCATCCTGCTAGTTGCGTTTCAGAGCTACCAAGTCAGATCAGATTCACCTCAGTGGTTCGGATTGTGTTGAAATCTCTTACATGAGCTGAGATGATTCAGACCAAACTGAATAAGCATACATAATACACAAATCCTGGCTATACAGATATGTGCAATTTCACCAAATCCTGGTCAACCCATCACCTAAATCCCTCCAACTCCTTCATAACCTCTTTCAAGGTCGTCAAACCTCTCTCCACTCCTCTAAGCCCCGGGGACGAAGTTCTGCGCGTAGGCCCACGCGTTGTTCGCCGTCGGATCCGCGAGGTGGTCCGCGAGGTTCTCGAGGGGCCCCTTGCCCGTCACGATGGCCTGCACGAAAAATCCCAGCGCCGACACCTGCGCGAGGCGCCCGTTCTTGAGCTCCTTCACCTTCAGCTCCGCCGCCGCGTCGGGATCGTCAGCCAAGCCCAGCGGGTCGAACGCGCCGCCCGGGTAGATCGGATCTTCAACTTCCTGAAATCCCTCGAGCCCACCCACGCGGTAGCTCTCCACCGCGCCCAGCAGCACCACCTGCGGAACGACGACATCGGGTTACCACGTAACGTAAAATACGTGAGGATTTGTTTGTCGTACAGACGAGGAAAAGTAAGGGACTTAGAAAACGGGTGATGGAGACAAGGTGATTTCGCAACGGATCTGACTGGGTAGTAAAAGCCAGGATATGTAACGGAAAAAAAAAACAGCAGAGCGCACATTGACGGCGAACGCAGGAAAAAGGTGACCGTGAGAGAGGGCTTAACAACGAGCTCACCTGGACGGCGAGCGTGGCGAGGATGCTCTGTGCGTGGATGAGCGCGGGGTTGCCCAGGTAGTCGAGCCCGCCCTCGGAGAATATCTGCGCGCCCGCCTTGAACCACACCGCCTCTTGCAGCGGCACGCCGTTGCGTGCCAGCAGCTCGGGGAAGACGATGCCAAGCGCGCCGAGCATGGCCCAGCGCGAGTGAATCACCTCCAGCTCGCGATTCTTCGCAAAGGTCTCGGGATCCGCTGATAATCCCGCAGTGTCCCACCCGTAATCTCCGGGAAACTCGCCCTTCAGGTACGCGGGAGGTGAGCTAAACGGGCCGAGGAAGAGGCTGCGATCCGGGCCGTACCACTGGCTCAGGTTGTCAGCGGCCTTGCTGACGGTCTTGCGCATCGTGACGCGACACTCCACGTTGCGGACCTTCGCCGCGAGCTCCGCGCTCGAGCCGACGAACGCGGAAGCGGCGGAAGCCGCGGTGGCGGAGGAGAGAGCAGCCATGATGCTGGTGCGGGACTGAGCACAAGCTGAAGAAGGCAGGCTGGCTGCAGATGCTCCGAGTGAGTGTGGAATGAGTTGGCTTGACGATTTTGCTGCATCTGTTGGGAGGTATTTATGTCCGGGATGGGTTGTGGTCCAAACTCGATTTTCAGTGCCAAGATCAATGTTCGAAAGTGAAATCGAGGCGCGGCTGATACGCGCTTCGGAATTGGGAAGGTGCGGAGTTTTTGTGGGCGAGGGTAATTTGCGAAGATTTGGTAACCGAATTAAGGCGCGCCACGTCAGCTCGAAGAAGTCGGCCGAATGTTTGGTTTCGCCAATGCTTCGAACTGGGACTGGTGTCTTTAGCATCCAGCGAATTTGGTCCTGCGGATTCAAATTTGTCCAAGTTGAGAATGCCTCTTCGATACAGGGTCCCTCAAAATTTTTGTAGAGTGAAATGATATTATATTCTGGAAGCTTTAAGGTTGTAATTCTCTTGTAAACAGTTGCTTTTAACGAGGAAGCTAGCAGGCTGAAGCAGGGTTTCCGTACTCACATACCTGCCCTGAAGTTAGTCTCCCTAAAATAGGAGGTCGAGTTAGGGTGTGACGGGACTGGGATGGGGATTCTCACTTTCGTTTCACAGCAAGTAACAGTTCAGGTGAAGTTGAAATTCGTTTGGGTCTCCCTCGTTTAGTTTCGCGAATTCAAAACAATTTTGCGATCTGCATTTCGTACTTTGCTCTTTGGGTCGAGTCGATACTGCCCTGGCAGTTTCCAGTCTGCTGTCCCACTGCGCTTCTATTTCGACTTGCCTTTTGTTCATTTATCCCCATCCAGTTAGCGCGCCATGGCGGAGGTGAAAGTATCGGAGGTTAAAGACCTAACGCTCGTCGAGCAAATTGGCGCGCACTCGCACATTCGCGGGCTAGGGCTAGACGACAAGTTGGAAGCGCGAGGCGTGTCGCAAGGCATGGTCGGGCAGGAAAGGCTTGCCGGGCAGCTGGAATCATCCTGGCGATGATCAAGGGAAAATCGCAGACCAGGGGATTTTGTTAGCCGGGCAGCCCGGATCCAGGAAAACGGCTATCGCGATGGGGATGGCGAAAGCGCTCGGGGAGGAGACGCCGCTCGCGATGATGGCGGGCAGCGAAATGGGCTAGATTCGAAGACCCAAGACCGAAGCGCTCACTCAGGTGCTTGCTAGCCCGAAGCGCTCTTTGCGGGGGAACCTGGGGACAGGAGAATGGGGGAGATGGGGAAGAAGTAGTGCCCCATTGTTCTCCCCTAACCCATCTCCACGAATCTCCCTTTCTGCTGCCTTCCTTCCACCATATTCACTCAAAACCCGGAAGCTCACCCTCACAATTACCAACATCGCAAGGCCATAGCCGTGCGATAAAGCTCGGAGATCCTACTCGACCGCCCGGCCACCACCCTCCTCTCCCTCTCCTGCTCCTGTCTGTTTCCCTGACAGGCGTTTCGCAAAGCAACTGGTGTGCGAATTAAAGTTGAGACGGAGATAGTTGAAGGCAAAGTGGTGGGGAATCAGATTGGCTGACGGTTCATCTCTCTTCCCCCTCTCCCTCCCTGCCTGCCTCTTTCCTCCCTCGCACTCCTTTCCTCATAACTCCAACTTCTCCCCCAACTCAAGCGTTTCGCAAGGCTACTGGTGTGTGGATCAAGGAGGAAATCAAGATAGTCGAAGGCGAGGTGGTGGAAAGAAATATATATCAACTGCTTCGCCACCGCCTCTCCCGCACCCTCTCCCGCACCCTCTCTCGCACCCTCTCCCGCACCCTCTCCCGCACCCTCTCCCGCACCCTCTCCCGCACCCTCTCCCGCACCCTCTCCTCCCGCACCCTCCCCGCACCCTCTCCCGCACCCTCTCCCGCACCCTCTCCCGCACCCTCTCCCGCACCCTCTCCCGCACCCTCTCCCGCACCCTCTCCCGCACCCTCTCCCGCACCCTCTCCCGCACCCTCTCCCGCACCCTCTCCCGCACCCTCTCCCGCACCCTCTCCCGCACCCTCTCCCGCACCCTCTCCCGCACCCTCTCCCGCACCCTCTCCCCCTCGCACCCCTCTCCCGCACCCTCTCCCGCACCCTCTCCCGCACCCTCTCCCGCACCCTCTCCCGCACCCTCTCCCGCACCCTCTCCCGCACCCTCTCCCGCACCCTCTCCCGCACCCTCTCCGGCACCCTCTCCCTCACCCTCTCCCTCTCCTCTCATGCCCCTGTCTATTTCCCCCAACACCAGGCATTTCGCAAGGCAATAGGTGTGAGGATCAAAGTGGAGACAGAAATCATCGAAGGGGAGGTAGTCGAAATCCAAATGGACCGACCAGCCATAGCCGGAGCCGCGGCCAAAACGGGAAAGCTCACACTCAAGACCACCGACATGGAGACACCCATGCGTGCTGTTTATAGACGAGGTGAGATTTTATGCTGAGTCTGTTTTTTTTAGAAATCTAAAAAAAAAAACAAACAGACCACCGACATGGAAACGCCCAGGCGTGCGTGCTGTTTATAGACGAGGTGAGTGAGAGGACCCCAGTGGGCCCCAGTTAGGTGCCATTGACTTTACATGGCAGCAACTATGTTGTTTAGGTAAAAATAATGAGTGTAACTGGTTTCGGTTTCGGCATAAAGCCTTCTTCAGACCACCGACATGGAGGCGCCCAGGCATGCGTGCTGTTTACAGACGAGGTGAGTGAGAGGACCCAGGCCCAGAGATCTCTTTCTAAGGGTAAGGAGGGAAGGAGGTGGTGCATGTGACTTTTGGGCAAAGGTGAGAGGGGACGATGGAAGGGAGGAAGGAGGGGAGGGAGTAAGGAGGGAAGGGAGTAAGGAGGGAAGGGAGTAAGGAGGGAAGGGAGTAAGGAGGGAAGGGAGTAAGGAGGGAAGGGAGTAAGGAGGGAAGGGAGTAAGGAGGGAAGGGATTCAGGAGGGAAGGCAGTAAGGAGGGAAGGGATTAAGGAGGGAAGGGAGGAAGGAGGGAAGGGAGGAAGGAGGGAAGGGAGGAAGGAGGGAAGGAGGAAGGAGTTGGTGCATGTGGTGTCGTTGCACGAGGCGGATGACTTTTGAGTCGACTCAAAAGTCAACTCGGTATAATGTCACACGGTATCTTTTCTACACGCAGGGCAATTCTCGCTTGGAGTTTACCAAAACGAGTTGGTAATTTTTTTAATTTCAGCTCATAAGTGCTAGCTTACTGTAGATTTGTTTTTCTACTGTTTTCATCTAGCTTTCCCCCACCTTCCCTGGCCACGCGGAGGAATGCCTCGCGATTGAGCCCTTGGGGTTGGTATTTAGCATGCTTGCCTCTCATTTCTGAACTTTGTGGTCTGAAGAAGGCTCGAAGAGCCGAAACTAGTTAGCGCCAACCTTTCTTTTTCACAAGGTGTTTTACAAGCAAGCAAAAGAAACCATTTCTAACAACGTTTTGCTAAACAAGCTGCTGCCACGCTAAGCCATGCCTCCTACGTGGGGATCTATTGGTCTATCTGTTGATACTGCAGCGATGGCCAGCTATAAATTCAATGCAAACACTACTACTACTACTACAACCAACACCAAGGTTGACCGCGCCTCGAACATCCCGAAGCCCAAGAGAGCTCCGCGAACAAATTCGCAGCCTGGCTCCGATAAAGAGCCGGTTTATCCGTGGAACAACCCACAGCAAGATCCTTCAGCTTGCCGACACTGCAAAAAGAGAGCTCTTGAATCTTCTAGTGCTACTCTCGCTAAGTCGATCGACGTTCCTGGAATCATCCCCGTCGCCATGGCTAACCAGTCTACTTCGACGGTCCAAGAGCAGGAAGCTGGTATCCGGATCCATGATAACATTGGTCTTTGCGACGACGTCATGTCCGATTCCATTGACTTCCTTGGTGATTTTAACATTCCTTTTCTAGAAAAGCAGGCTACTCCGGCCTATTTTACTACTTTGAAATCTCAAGCGATAAGCGACTTCAAGAAGAAGTTTATGAAACATCGTACTCTGCTGCAGCAGTATAACTTCATGGTTGAGCAGAAGAATGCTGAGATTATTCCTCATTCTATCCGTATCAAGTCCTTTAATTTCGTCTGCAACTCCGAAGATATTCGTCAGGAGGCCGACAAGGATCTTGAAGCGGCTAAACTGGCTTATTGCCGTAATGTTCAAGATATTTTAATCGCCATGAAGAAGGATGCAGAACAAGCTTACAGTGATGCTGCTACGGTGTATAACTCTCTGATCTTCCACATCGACAACTTCATCAACTTGAACAAGAAGTCCGACCTCGGCTCTAAGAACTCGAAGGTCCTTGACAGCCTCGACTTCTTTAAGATACGAGTGTTGGCCGAGTTCAATGATGCAGCGTCGCTGTTTTACATGGAGACTAACATGGCTGAAGTACACCTGAAGCAGAAGAAGGACGACCTCAACGCTAAGAAAAAAGCTGCAGTCGACGAAGCTGAGAATCTGCCGGTTGAACCCACTGTTCGAGAGATCGCTCGTCAGGAAGTGCAGAAAGTGCTGAAATTGACGACCGCGAAGTCGCCTGTTAAGACATCCAACAAGAAGGATAAGGTTTCTTTTTCTGGAAAGTCTAAATCTCATACTAACAAATCCGGCGTGAATGTCAGGAAACCTGCTGCAGCTGCTAATGGCTCTAAGCCTCGTCAGGGTTCTAAAGCTTCTAAGTCTTTTAAGCTCGGCAACAACAAGGGTTTCCGTTATAACAACGGTGCTGCTACCAACGGCAAAGGTGCTGCTACCAACGGCAACGACAAGAAGCAGAAATCAGATGAAGGTGAACGTACCGCTGTGAAGACAGTTGGCCGCTCTTACTCAAAGACGGCTGTACGCAGCAACTCCAGCTCCAAGCCGGGTAACCGCAATGCATTTGCGCCAAAAAATGGGGGAGGAGGAGGCCGCGGAAAAACGACTCGGCATTAGTGACTGACGTTCACTCCTACGCACTGATACTGTTCGGACGACTGACAGAGTATCAGCTGCAGTGCCGAATCACCAACCGTGGACTCCACAACTACAGCAACCATACCTTCTCTAAACCTGAGCTCGACCTCTTAACCCTGGGATTGAAATTCATACCCGTCCCTGTTGTTCACTCTGTCGCTAGCCTGGAAGCCGAGATTTCTACCTTTATTAGGAATGTTCGTACCATGTTTCTCTTTAATGGATCTGATTCTTCCGGTTACTCAGGGTACAAGCTACCTAAACGAGTAAACTGGGATCCGCCGGCAGCTTCATCTGAAGTTGAAACCGCGCTGGAGGTCTTTAAGGAAGCTGTTATTAAAGAAGTCACTGGACAGAACTTTTCTTCACTGATGCGGAAATCTAGAAACGTGCTACCGACTTTAAGACGACTTGCTAACAATCCTAACATCATCTTCAAACCTGCAGATAAGAACCTGGGCTTGACCGTCATGAGCAGAGAATACTATCAGGAGCAATGCCTGAAACACCTGCTCAACGATAAAGTCTATAAAGAATATCCTGCAGTTCCGGTCTCTGACATTCTTCACGAGCTGCATTCTATTCGCTCGGATTGGGACCCGCTTATTAAATCCAAGATTTGGAACTCTTTTTTCGTTCGGCCTAAGAACGGCTGGAAGGTTCCGGCGTTCTACATACTGCTCAAAATTCATAAAAAGGTTCCGGCTGGGAGACCTATTGCCGCTTGCCACTATTGGATTACAACTAACGTGTCGCGCTGGCTGGACTCTGTTCTACGACCGCTGGTGCTTAAGCAGCCGACATACGTTAAAGACTCTCAAAGTCTGATTCTGCAACTTGAGCAACGCTCTTTCTCTTCTAATTTGCTGCTGGCGTCGTATGATGTGGAGTCTCTTTACCCGTCAATACCGCTCTGGGATGGCATTGATGCTGTCGCATACTTCTTACAGAAAGAGCGGCACCCTCTCGCGCCAGTCATTACTCGTCTCCTACGATGGGTGATGTTTAACAGTTTCGTTTCTTTCAACGGCCGTTTCTTCCGTCAGATCCAAGGCACTGCCATGGGTACTTCGGTGGCCGTTTGCTTCGCCGTGCTGTTTCTCAGTTATCTGGACATTCAACTTCACGCATCGCTCAAACTCACTCCCGCTCTTCATCTTCGATTTATTGATGACGGGTTGATTCTCTGGGAGGGAACAAGAGCGGAGTTTGAATGTTTACGGCAACGGTTTGATTCACTTCATCCTTCCATACGACTGACATGGGTTGTTTCAGAAACCACAATGGATTTTCTGGACTTGACAGTGTTTAAGGGGCAGAGATTCTCAACTTCTGGTACTCTCGACTTGAAGCTGTATCAGAAGCCGATGAACCGCTACCTGTACCTGCCTTTTAAGTCTTACCACACTCGGTCTACTAAAGTCGGCTTCATTCGGAGTGAGCTACGAAGGTTTCTTCTACGCTCCTCCTCCCGCACTGACTTTCTTAATTCCCGCGCTCTATTCTTCGTTCGTTTACGAGCCCGTGGGTACCCGGAGAAATTTCTCCTCCCGATCTTTAAGTCAGCTCTTTTCGCTAACCGTGGGGAACTGCTCCAACGTGCCTCTGCTACTCGTAACTCCGAAACCCGTGGCCCCCTGGTGCTGAAACTTCTGCTCAACCCGCTGGTTGACCGTTCGCGCCTGGGGAACATTTTGAGTCGACTCAAAAGTCAACTCGGTATAATGTCACACGGTATCTTTTCTACACGCAGGGCAATTCTCGCTTGGAGTTTACCAAAACGAGTTGGTAATTTTTTTATTTCAGCTCATAAGTGCTAGCTTACTGTAGATTTGTTTTTCTACTGTTTTCATCTAGCTTTCCCCCACCTTCCCTGGCCACGCGGAGGAATGCCTCGCGATTGAGCCCTTGGGGTTGGTATTTAGCATGCTTGCTTTCATTTCTGAACTTTGTGGTCTGAAGAAGGCTCGAAGAGCCGAAACTAGTTACCGCCAACCTTTCTTTTTCACAAGGTTTTTTACAAGCTAGCAAAAAAAACCATTTCTAACAACGTTTTGCTAAACAAGCTGCTGCCACGCTAAGCCATGCCTCCTACGTGGGGATCTATTGATCTATAGCCGCACGCAGGGGTTGGGGTTTGGAAGGGATGGAGGTGGTGCATTTTGTACGGCTGGGAAGGGAGTTCTCTTCATTGATGAGGTGAGAATAAGGGGGTCGGCACCAGGTGGTGCCTACACCAGGTGGTGCCTACACCAGGTGGTTCCTACACCAGGTGGTTCCTACACCAGGTGGTGCCCACACCAGGTGGTTCCTACACCAGGTGGTTCCTACACCAGGTGGTGCCTACACCAGGTGGTGCCCACACCAGGTGGTTCCTACACCAGGTGGTTCCTACACCAGGTGGTTCCTACACCAGGTGGTGCCTACACCAGGTGGTGCATGGGGGAGGTGCGGGAGCAGATAGACAGCAAGGTGCAGGAGTGATGGGAGGAGGGCAAGGCGGAGAGTGAGCAAGTCAGGGGTGCTGTTCGTAATGAGGTGAGAGTCGGGGCACTGGTGAGACTAGTGAAGGGGCAGGGGGAGGGGGGGGGGGGGGGGGGGGGGAACATGTGACAAGCATTCACGGGCACATGGGCAGGAGTGGAGAGAGGAGGCAGGGCGGAGATTGTACCTCGCGTGCTGTTCATTGATGTGGTGAGAATAAGGGGGTGCCCACACCAGGTGGTGCCTGCACCAGGGGTGCAAATTGGATGGTGACTTTTGAGTCAACTCAAGAGTCACTTTAAAAACCTAAGGGAGGGATCTCTTTCCAATGGGGTGGGACTCGTTGGGTTATGAGAGTCCTCAAGAACCAACTACTTTTTTGGAAAGTTGATGGTTTTGGGTGGTTTCTAAATTTCTTTCAGAAAGGATGATGGTATGAAGGGAGGTGGTGCATGTGCTATCGTTCTGCATGTGTAGAGAAATCCTCTCCTCCCACCTTTGTCCACCTCTCTCCACCCCCCCTTCCACCGCGCTCCACCTCTCGCCACCTTCACCCCCACGTGCACATACTCGACATTGAGTGCTTCCCTTTTGTCAGCCAAGCCCCTGGGGGCGAAGATGAGTGCCCCCTGAGAACGAAATGGCGCCCATACTCGCCCGTACTGGTTGTGGCGGTCACCAGCAACCTCTGCCTTCTTGCACAGGCCTCCTTGTGCACTCACCTCTCCATCCCCCTCCACCTCTCTCCACCCCTCTCTCCACCCCTCTCCACCCCTCTCTCCACCCCTCTCCACCCCTCTCTCCACCCCTCTCCACCCCTCTCTCCACCCCTCTCCACCCCTCTCCATACAGGTGCACATGCTGGACATCGAGTGCTTCTCCTTCCTCAACAGAGCCCTCGAGAACGACCAATCCACCCACTTGAACCCCTCTCCACCCGTCTCCTCCCGTCTCCACTCTTCGAAACCCCTCTCCACCCGTCTCCATACAGGTGCACATGCTGGACATAAAGTGCTTCTCCTTCCTCAACAGAGCCCTCGAGAACGAGGTGGCGCCCATACTCGTCGTGGCCACCAACCAATCCTCCTACTTCCACCCCTCTTTACCCCATTCCGCCACTCTCCACCCCTCCCCATCCCTTGCCACCCCTCCACACCCCTCTCCACCTCTCTCCACCCCTCTCCAGGTGCACATGCTCGATATTGAGTGCTTCTCCTTCCTCAACAGAGCTCTGGAAAACGGGATGGCGCCCATACTGGTCGTGGCGACAAATTGGGGCATCACCACGATCCGAGGAACCAATTATAAGGCACCACATCTGCTGGATTTCCTTGACCGCCTGCTCATCATCAGCACCGAGGTGAGTTGAGTTTGCAGGAGGTGAGCTGAGCTGAGCACTGTTCAACATGTGATTTTGAAGACTCTTAAGAACCACCTAACAACGATCCCAAACTCATCAGCACTGACGTGTGACAAGCTCGCAGTGCGGTGGCTGCCATCTTTCTTGGTTGTCGACATCATGAGATTTGGATGTCGATTGGATGTCGACTTCAGATTCAGAAGTTTCAAGGTTCGTGGGAGCTTTAGGGTCCAGTATGAGTGGTTTCACTCAGGGTTACAATTGGTCGCTTAGTCCCACTTAGCAAAACAGAACTGTGGTAACAAGTGGGATTGGCCTGAGCACATCTTGTGAGGCGCCTCAAGGGTGGTAAGACAAGTGCGGCTGAACCCATATTCTGTTTTCAATATTTGAGGCCTGGAGGAGGCAATACACACGTCCCCTGATGCCCTGGGATTGTCTCCTCCTTCCTTCCCCCCGTCACTTTTCCCCTCCCTACTTCCCCAGCCGTACAAGGAGGAGGAGATCAAGGAGATAATCAAAATCAGATGCCTAGAGGAGGCCGACCCCTGATGCTCTCGATCTGCTCTCTAAAATTGGTGTCAAGACTTCCCTTCGATACTCCATTCACCTTATCACCTCGGCGCATCTGGCAGCCAGTAGAAGACGAAAAGCGGGCGGCGGAGGTGGAGCGGGGGTGGTGGTGGAGGTGGAGGATGTGAATCGCGTGTAAACTCTTTTTGCAGATGTGAAACGGTCGACACAGTTTCTTGTGGAGTATGGCGAGCAGTTTTTGTTCAATGAGCAAGACAATGTAATGTCGGGGTAATTTGTACTGAGTACGTCGGGATTGTTGGGAACAAATAGCCTTAAAGCGCTTATGTCGTGTCGAAACTTCAAGACACAAGCGAAGCAGCGCAAATCGAAGCACCAGCGAGTCAACCCTCGGAGTTGATGTAACCGCTGGAGGTTACGAGAAAGTCAAAGGTCAGCGACCTTTGACTTGACAAATGCAGCGCGACAGCAAGGACACACAACTGACTCGACATTGAGCAGTTGCCCGAGTCGCGCTGTATCGAACCGCAACAGTAAAGTAGTTACAATTATGTCTCTTCATATTCTCTGTACTCATATATATATTCTTGTATCTCTTTGTTTTAATCAACTTACTTTGCCCTCACATACTAGCGCAAGGTGGTTCAAGGACTTCATTCAAACGCTTCCGCTATTACATCATTTTACTCAGACTTTAACTCTACAAAGATCCTAGGGCGTTCAGCCCAACATGGTATGAGAGCAGGTTAGAGTTAATATTTTCTCTTCAACACTTAATATATCAAGAAGACATGTCTACTAGAAAGGAGAGGAGCTCCTCCAACGGCTCTCCCGGTACTACCCCTACTCCACCTCCTGCCTCTGGCCTACAGACAGAGGAAGGGACAACAACGAGACCAGCAGTTGGGTCTACTGAAACACCCGCAAACCAAGGCGCGGGCTTCGATCCAAGCATGATGGAGAAATTCTTCTCCTTCATGTCCTTCTACGAGCAGCATCAGCAAGGAGTACCTGCGCAATCAAACAACAGCAACAACAACAACAACGTGACGCCCATGAGTCTTGATGGCTCATCCTACGCACGCGGGAATCAACAACAACAACAACCTACCTTCGCTCCGTACGAGCCTCAGCGCGGCTCCGTCAGCTTCATGCCACAACCACAACCTGCACCGGGACAAGAAAGAGCGATGGACGCACTACAAGTTCAGTCGCAGCTCGCTCATGTTCTAAAACTACAAACGACAAAACCTTTCGACGGGAAGGATTTCTTTACCTGGTCGTTTGAATTCGAGCTGATGATGGAAGGAGCGCAGATCCTTGGCTTCTTCAACGGGTCCCTGCCATATCCAACAAACGGCACACATAATGAGAAGCAGCAGTACACCTATCAATCGATGATGGCGTACACAATACTACTGAGGAACATCACCCCGACTCAACAGCAAAACATAAGGACTTACCGAGGTTACGGTAACTCCGCGGAGCTCGCGTACAACCACTTGAAGAACCTGTATCAAGCAACAGACAGCGTAAATCAAAGTCGGTTAATGGCGCAGCTGACAACAATCGAAATGAAACCAGGCGAGAAGAGAATGGCATATATCACTTGTCGCAAGCTGCGCGACAAGCTTCTTCGATGTGGAGGATCGATTTCAGAAGACGCCTTCGTCATGGTTGTCATCGGCGGTCTTGGCCCTCACTGGCGCTCCACTCGCGCCATACTACGAGCACACGGGAGAATCTCCGAAGCAGCACTCTACGCCGAAATCCATGCCGAGCAACAGGACATGGACCTGCAAGAAGAATGACATAAGAAGAAAACGTCAGTACCAGAGTTCGCGTTTCACACCCAGCGATGCTACAACAACAACAACAATTGGCAGCAACAACAATTGAAGCCAGTACCTCCGTTTTGCCACATCTGCAAGACTTCAGGGCATCCTCGTACGCACTGCCCGCATCGTCAGCAATCGACAACATCACAGCGACAACTTCGGCCTTCAAGCTCCCAAGTCACTTCAACGCAAGTAAATCCCACGACAAAGATTCAAGCCTCAACGACTCCAACAGGACAACCTGCACAAGGAGCAAGAAACATCGTCAAGTGCATGGCAAAGACAGCAGATTCCTGCATCACCGAATCACTGCCGCACTACTCACCAGAAGAACGACTTGACGAAACCACACCTCGACGCGAGTCACTTCAGCCGAACCCTGTCAAACATTATATATGTTGTTGTAGTTGTTTAGGCCACAGTGGGTTAGCCTATAGGGGGTACACATTCCTAGGTTTTCACACTTGTACTCATTTTCACTGTTAGTTCATTCATTCTTGTTCAACATGGTATAGAGCAGGTCCTTCCTAGGACCGATTTTTTTTAGGGCCCACCACTACCTACCTACCTACCTACCTGCGCCCTAGGGCGCCTCGGCTTTCACGCCCCTAGAGGCCCCGTCGGCCCCGCGCTCTCGCACCTAGAGACCTCGGTCGGCCCCGCGCTCGCTTTTAGAGGCCCCGAATCGGCCCCGCGCTTACCCCCACAGGCCCGCGTCGGCCCCGCGCTCGTCCTTAACGGCCCCAAATCGGCCCCGCGCTTACCCCTAGAGGCCCGCGTTGGCCCCGCGCTCGTCCCTTCCGGCCCCGATCGGCCCCGCGCTCGTCCCTCACGGCCCCGATAGGCCCCGCGCTCGCCCTTAGAGGCCCACGTCGGCTTCGCGCTCGTCCCTTACGGCCCCGATCGGCCCCGCGCTCGTCCCTCACGGCCCCGATAAGCCCCGCGCTCGCCCTTAGCACCCACGTCGGCCCCGCGCTCGTCCCTCACGGCCCCACCCGCTCCCCGCGCTCGCCCTTAGCGGCCACGAACGGCCCCACCCAGACCGAGCAGCCCGAACCGAGCCGACCCGAGCCGCCCAGCCCTAACGGAAACGAGCCGCCCGACCCAAGCCGCCAGCCCTAACCGACCCGAGCCGCCCGAACCGAGCCGCCCGAACCGAGCCGCGCCGCCCGACCCGAGCCGCCCGAACCGAGCCGCGCCGCCCGACCCGAGCCGCGCCGCCCTACCTATACCGAGCCGCGCCGCCCTACCTGTACCGAGCCGCGCCGCCCTACCTACCCTACTGCTCCTACTGCTTTTCCTACTGCTGCTACCATGGCTAGCCCTCCTGTGCTAGCCTTCGATGCTGAGGGCCGCCCAGTGAAGTTCGACACCTGGCTTGATGACCTACACCTCTTCCTACAGCTCACTGCCAAGGAAGACATCTCGTTGTACAATCACGCCTTAGGCCACGCTACTGCTCCTGCTGCTTCTGCTGACAGCACTGCCCGCTCACAGTGGCAGACTCGTGACGCCCATGCTCGCTTCGTTATTCGCAACTCTTTGCCGATAGATGAGCGCGAGCACTTTGGGCAGCACAAGACTGCACAGGCACTGTACACTGCTGTCGTTGCCCGCTACTCCTCACCGGCCTCTGCCGCTCTAGGCCGTCTCTCTCTTCCCTACCTGTTCCCCGACTTAGCTTCCTTCCACACTGTCGCTGATCTCATTACCCACCTCCGCACTAGTGAGGCTCGCTTCCACGCTGCTATGCCTGATGAGTTCCTTGCCACGAACCCACCCCCGCTCTGGCTCACTCTCTACCACCTAGTCACGCGCCTCCCTGACACTTTGCGCTCAGTCAGGGACCACTTCCTAGCTCGCTGCCCCACCGAGCTCACCATTGCCCTCCTCGAGAAGGAACTCCTTGCAGCTGAGGCTAGCATAGTTGCTGTAGGTGCCTCTCGCGGTGACCCCCGTACCCCGTTCTTTGAGGGGTGTTCTCCCTCCCCCCGTCTTCCCTCTGTCGCATCTGCTGCTGCTGTCGACCTCCTTGGTGCTGAGAAGGTCGGGACTGCGTCTACTTCGAGTGGGCGCCGCAGTGGAAAGGGCAAGGGGGGCAAGGGCGGTGGTGGTGACAGCGGGGGTGGCGGTGGTGGGGGAGGTGGTGGTGGCGGGGGGGGTGGCGCGGGTGGGGGAGGTGGCAGCAGTGGGGGGGGGTGGCGGCAGCAGCGGGGGAGGTGGCCGGGGCGGAGGAGGTAGTGGGGGTGGCGGTGGACGAGGCAGCTATTCTCACCCTAGACTTTGATGCTATTCTCACCCTAGACTTTGATGCTATTCTCACTGCCATGTATGTGATGTCTACTAGTGGAGAGGGTGCTGAGTACCTGAGTGTCCCGCCCGACCCGGGCATTAGGACTAGTGCGTCTGCCGCTCCAGGTACTCGCGTGTCCGCTACCCCAAGTGCTGGTGAGGCAGCTGCTCTAGGTGCGTGTATGTCTGCCCCCCCTAGTACTGTGTCGACTGCAGCACTGCACACCTTCACACTGGATTCAGGTGCCTCTCGCTGTTTCTTTCGTGACCGCACTGCCCTTGAGCCCCTTGCTCGGCCAGTTGCTGTCTCCCTCGCTGACCCCTCTGGGGGTCCGGTCCTTGCGACCTCCTCCACTGTCCTTCCCTGTCCTGCGGTCCCGTCGGGCACACTGTCAGGTCTCCACCTCCCCTCGTTCTCTACGAACTTGGTGGCAGGTTGTGCACTACAGGACGCGGGTGTTCACCAGTTCACCCCTGCCCACGAGCGTGTCACACACTGCACGTGTGCCCGTACAGGCCGCCACTTGGCTACCTTCACCCGGCAGCCGGGGTCGGACCTGTACACACTGACTACTGCCCCCCCTCAGGTCGCTGCGTTTGCGTCTGCGTTAGCGTCAGGTGAGCTGTCCGCCCCCTGCTCGTGTTGCTCTCTAGCGCACGAGACTGTCCTCTGGCACCACCGACTGGGCCACCCGTCTGTGCAGCGCCTTCGTGCCATGCACTCCCGGTACCTTGTCTCTGGTCTTCCCAGGGTCCTCCCTCCCCTCCCACCCTCGCCTGCTCCTCCCTGTCTTCCCTGTGTCGAGGGGCGGCAGCGCGCCGCTCCTCACTCCTCCTCGTTTCCCCCGACGACTGCTCCTTTGCAGACGCTCCACATGGACGTGTGGG